GGGTTAGGATCAACGAGGCACCGCAATACATGAAATAACTCTGCAAAGCTTTGATAAAATATGACTTCATAGAGTATAAGGGTTGAGTTCAGGCTGCTTTAATTATTTTCTGGTTCTTCAGTGACTTTTCTGACACTGTTATTTGTATCTTTTGTTTTGTTTTGGGAGGAGGAAGAGCTATGCTCATAACTTAGGTTAGTATTTTCAGTCCTTGTGTTTTTGAGGACAGCGTGGGTCTTGGGGTCTTCTCTGCATTTTCCATAAAGTCTAGCAGATACAGTAGGCACTGAATGAATGTTCGTTGAAATAAAGAGGACAAGTTCTCACAGTATGCTCAGTTCTGTTTAGTGAGAAACCAACCACAGGGTCATTGTTTTGCTATCTTTTGTTTTAAAATTGACTGAAGAATAGACAGAAATATTTGACTTGATGTGTAAAAAGAGGAATTGCTCTCCACTAGAGAACAGTCTGTTCTGAAATTACCGAGGTGTGAAGCATCTTTCTTTAAAAACAAATCAAAACACAGCTATCCCAATAAACATCTTCTAAATTGTCCCTAAATAAGTTACTTTATCCTATGTAAATAATTTCTGTTTTATGGTAGCTCAGCATTTACTGACATGAGAAGCCCAGACGAATCAAAAAGGGATCAATGCTAGAATTTTAAATGTGCAAATTGAAATTCTAGTTAATTTTAACATAATGAAAAATTCCAAAATTATTAAGATGACCAACTCAGACCTTCAACCCAACACAACTTTAATTCAGTTATTTTACTTTGTAGAAGGAAAAATTAAACATTTCAACTTTAAATTTCTTAATTAAAAAATAAAATTTTTAATAGTAAATACAAAATTAATCTTGATTTTTTTATTTTTAAAAGATTTTATTTATTTGAGAGAGAGCATGGGGGAAGGGGCAGAGGGAGAGGGAGAAGCAGACTCCCCGCTGAACAGGGAGCCCTAGGGGTTCAATCCCAGGACAGATGCTTAACCGACTGAGCCACCCAGGTGTCCTGGAAAATTAATTTCGTTTTAAAAAATGGTTTTAAAGTCATCCATAACAATACCAGTCTGGTTAGATTCACAGCTCTTGGACCTTAATTTAATAAATCATCTCTTGGCATTGATACTACCAATACACAAACTGATTTCACCTTGCCTTCTACTAAGCACGTTAGAGATAAGAGTCTCATTTAGACCTCTCTCCATTTTACCCAAGGAAACAAGCTCACTGAAGTTAAGCTACATACCCAAAGTCACAGAGTTAATAAGACTGGAACTTGGGTCTGACTCCAGGTCTCTAAAGCAACCGCTCACTCTGCCCAAATATGTGTACATTTCTCAGCACAGCTAGATTTTCTTTTTTTTTTTTTTACCTTCCATAGTCACCCAGAATGAAGCAACTTTTAGAACAGTGGTGGGTACAAACAGGGTTTGTTGTTTTTATCCTTATTTTTCAGTTTTCTCCTGGATGCCTGAATCATTTGAATCCAGTTTTAAAGTCCCTGAGCCTCTTCAATGTCCTAGAAGGAGACCATTTTGTTTGATCTCATGTATGTTAGCATTTGTAACTTATTCCAACCTTGCTCAGTGAACTGGTTGACAGATAGAGGCTACTGTCAGTCATTTGTTGTTGCTGACAGCAGTTTTTTTCATTATTCAGGCTTGACGTGGCTTTTTAACTCTCACAGCCAAAAAAGTTCTTCTAATCAGTTTCACTTACGTAAATTTTGTTGTCTATTGAGTAACTTCTCCGTGATCTTGCCTTTTTTCTTCTTTTTTTTTCATTTTTCACAACTGCAGAGCATTGAGGTGAAAACAGCTTTTGTGTCTTGTCAAAGACGGGCTGCTGATCTTCAGGCAGATAGCCAAAGCTTCCCATGGAGACGCCAAGATGCCGAAAGGGGAAGCCTAGGTTTGGGGGATTTTGATAGTCACCAATAACCCCAAAAATGCTGGCCAAACTTCTACCTTGCAGTTATGCAAAAACTTCACTTGGGTTAAAACTCGTTCTCAGCCTGGATACATGTTAGGATCATTCTAGCAAGTTTCCCCAAGGTCCAAATGTTTTCATTATTTCATATCTACGGAAGCATATTTTGTTATCTATGGCACCATAAACAAGAGTTGATTTGGTCTCTTCATTTTTTATAATAGTATCATTTATTATCATGTGAATCCAAATCCACAGTGCATAAATCAGAGTCTATAAATAAACTGATCATGCTTCCCCATAGTTGAGGCTATACTGGGAGTGAAACCAGTAAAAAATAGGGAAAAGGTAAATGAAAGAAAATAATTCAGTCCAGTTGAGTTCAAGTCCACATTAAAAATCCAGGGGTGGTTGAATTTAGTTGTTTAAACTCCCTCACCTCTGATGTTTATATTTGGTCTTATACATTAATGAGTTATCATTTCTTTACAAGCAGTTGAAAGTTCCTGGAAGGCAAATAATTGTGCTCAGACTTTAAAAACTGTAATTTATTTGGAATAGGTAACATGTTCACAGGATTCAAAAGTCAAAAGGTCCTACCAATAAAAGTCTCCTACTAGGAACCCAATATGCCACTCCAAAAGCAACCAGTCTAAATAGCTTCTTGTGTGGGTACCTGGGTGGCTCAGTCAGTTAAGTGTCAGCCTTCGGGCCAGGTCATGATCTCAGGGTCCTGGGACTGAGTCCCACATTGAGCTCCCTGCTCAGTAGAGAGTCTGCTTCTCCCTCTGCCCCTCCCCACTGCTCGTGCTCTCTGTCAAATAAATAAATAAAATCTCAAAAAAAAACCCATCATCTTATGCATCCTTTCAGATACACATTTTTTGCATGTACAAGCAAATGTGTATCTACATTTTTTCCCTTTCAAGAATGCAAAATTTATATCTGGAAGGATATAATATACTATATATATATAATATACAAATTAAGTATACATTTTATACATACGAAGTACCTAGCGAGCAAAGTGTCCATAGTTTAAACGTTGTATACATTATTGATATAATGTGCAAAGTGAACATACTGCACTCTCCTATACCTTCTTTTTTAATTTAACAATAAATGTATCTCAGAGATCTGTTTCATATCAGTACTGAAGGAAGTTCCTTATCTGTTTATGTAGCTGTCTAATATAGTATTCTCTTGTTTGGATTCTGCCACCCCATTCATTTAACCAGTTCCCTACTGATGGACATTTGGGTTATTTCCAGTGTTTTGCTATTATAAACAAAGCTGCAATGAAAATCCTTACACATATGTCCTTTTTCACATGTGAGACTATAACTGTAGGGTAAATTTCTGTAAGTGGAATTCCTGGATCATGTATAGTTTTGATAGATATCGTCAAATTATTCTTTTCAGAGGTTGCACCAATTTACATTTTCACTAAAATGTAAGGGATCACAGATTTTCTTCTATCATTACATTTACCCCGTAATAAATATAAATAAATGATTTTTTTAAAAGATTTTATTCATTTATTTGACAGAGAGAGACACAGCAAGAGAGGGAACACAAGCAGGGGGAGTGGGAGAGGAGAAGCAGGCTCCCCGCTGAGCAGGGAGCCCGATGCAGGGCTCGCTCCCAGGACCCCGGGATCATGACCCGGGCCGAAGGCAGACGCTTAACGACTGAGCCACCCAGGCGCCCCAATAAATATGATTTCAAAAGCTGCTCTCCACATGCTATGGTCTCAATGTTTGTGTCCCCCTGCCCCAAATTCACATCCTGAAATCCTAACCCCCAAAGATGATGGTATTAAGATGATAGGGCCTTTGGAAGGTTCTTATATTACGAGGGTGAAGCTCTCATGAATGGGATTAGTGTTCCTATGAAAGAGACCCCACAGAGATCCCTTGCCCTTTCGCCATGGGAGGACACAGCTCGGAGGTGCCAGTTACAAACCAGGAGGAGGATCCTGACCAGAATACAACCATGGTGGCACCTTGATCTTGGACTTCCCAGTCCCCGGAAAGGTCAGAAATAAATTTGTTGTTTATAAGCCACCTGCTCTGTGGTAGTTTGTTATAGCAGCCTGCATGGACTAAAAACACACACCATCAGAGGTAGGTGTCTTCTCCATTCCCCCAGGTCCACGCTGAATCTGGCCTCATTGGTGAGTCTCCTAGCACCTGGGATTTCCTCCTTCCCCTACTTTATAACATTTGCTGTCCTCTCTTCTCACTGTCCTGAGACATTTTCCTTAAACTCTCATATTCCCTAGCACTTGAATTATTACTTAATTCTTCTTGAATATATGTAGCATGTCTTCAGTTAGGCAGTATCTTTTCTACAAAGATACTGATACTCTTTCTTTAAAAACATCTAGAATCCAACATATATTCTTAGGAAGAGTCATCATCACCTTTTGAGTGTCTGATTCAGAGACATGATCACAAGTCTCTTTAAAGTGAGCTTGATGACTCAGCAATTAAGAGTCCTACACTTCCTTGAATGGTAAATGTTGTCATGTTTGTCTTAAAACCACACGTCTTTGTATGGTCCCACCCGAGACCAGGCTTTAATGCTCTCCTTGACTTCATGCTAGACATCTTACTTCCTTTTCAGAATGTGAAGACTGGAATACATCCAGCTTGATAGGCATCGGCTTGCATATCCACGCTTACCGACCCAAGAACAGTCCTCTCTGAGAGGAAAGCCCCTTTGTTGCCTCAGAGCTGTCTTGGGGACCACTCCTTCTCTCTTACCCTCCCTCCTTCAGATCTCCGATTTGTACAACACAATTTCGACTCTTTTCTTGGTATTGTCTTAAAAGAAGCTACAGAGTAAGAGGGGAAGGAAAGTTTTCAATACATTCTTTGGGAAGAAAATACTTTTTTCGGGATTTTTCAACGCACAGAACTAAGAGTAAGTTGCATAAACAGCAACCATGAAGTAAAGAACTAGGAAGGTAGCTGCAGATATTCCCAGTAACTTTTTCCACTGGGACATTAAACTGGGTGTGGTTTTATAAAGCCTAGAAAACAAGACAGTGGACATGCTGGTGCACCAAGGAACAAAATAAATAAGAATATTTTATTAAATTAATGCAGGTGTAAACAATGACAATTAAAATGCAGAACAAAATATCCTCTCTGCATGTCCTTTAGAGTGAAACACAAGACAAGGAGATAAAGTGCCTTACAAATCCAACACCGTAAGAGGGCATTGACATTTAGGAATGGAGTGAATAGACTGTATTCCCGCTCAGCCAGAATGCTCCTTATACGTCACACAAACAAGGGATGCCGTACAGACGAACATGTGTGAAAAGACAACAGAAAGACTTCTGTTGGAGATTCTGTTTCTTCAGCCTTGACATGCGGCAAAACAAAGGTTTTCTTTGTCGATAATCCAGGTAAACGGCCAAGAGAGCAGGAATACGCTGGGAGGCATGGGAACCTCAAAGCCTTTGAAATGCAACACCTTAGATCTATGTAGTGATGAGAACTGGTCTGACTAAGGGGTTCAGGCACAGCTCATGGCCTTTTCTAGCAGAGGCGAGAGTCAAGGTACATTACTGGAATTTCCAAAAAAACAAAAACAAAAAACCCATCCCTGTCTTTTTGCAACTGCAATATCAAAGCCTAGTTCTTTTACTCAAGAGAAAACAGGTAGGAAAAAACACAAGTTCCAGACATGATTCTGTCATGCAGAATTAGTAATAAAGTCAACCTTTAGGACTAGGCTGAGCCAGTGTACCCTGGAGAACCCAACGGTCTCACTTTGGGAAATGCAAAATAAACCAAATCCAAACTCAGTCATAGAGCAGTAAGTCAACAAATGCTCGTTGTCCAAGCATCGATGAAGTACATATTTAGCATGTACTAAGTCTTATAAAAGATACTAACAGGCTATGGAAATGCTGATCTAGAAATAAGGCACAGTGCCTGGCCCCTGGGAACTTTACATTTGTTCCAATGGTCCGGTAAGAAATAATACATTAAATAAAAATAGCAAAGTGCACAGCAGGCGAATAGTGTATTACCACTTATGTGAATAAAAAATATACTTTATATATCTACATATATTCATAGACTATCTTTAGAAGACTACAAGAACAAAAGACAAGAGTGGCTGCTTCTGGGAAGGAAATCCGATGGCTAGGAGGATGGAATGGGGACTTTTTAATGTCTCCTCTTGGACCTTCTGAATTTTGAATCATGGAAAGCTTTGAATTCAAACTTTAGCAGCACTTAAATAAAAAAAGAGAGAACTGCTGAACAATACCAACACCATACACATAAGCATCAGATTGCATGGCAAAGGCAAATAAATCAGACACAAATATAATGATAGAAAAGGAACTCAAGAGTTATCTTCCACAATTTTTAAAAATACTGACTTACCCTCATAAACTAAAATCACTTTGATTAAAATGTATTTTCACCTTCCAGGGAACACACTGCCGGGCTGTCCAGGGCATGCCCTCCCTTTGGCAGCCTTTCTAGACTCTCCTGTTCACGTCGTCATTCTCCTCCAACACCTTATGCTATGACACTGCACTGAACTGTAATAATGAATTTCCTTATCAATCTCCCCATGATACTATGAGCTCCTGGAAGAGAGGTTCTTTGTCTTGCTCAATCACTGCCTGGCACACTGACATGGGTGCTTCCTACATGTTTTCTGAATGAATTTCTTAAAGCAAAACACAGCTCTAGACTTTATTCTAAAAGGACTGTGGGTGACAGCTGTGGAAATCTGAGGTCTGCTACTTACTGACTCAGGCAAGTTACTTTAGCTCTCTGCTCCCTCAGCTGTGAAATGGGTTTGAAAAGAGTGCTTACCACAACACAGCTATCCTAGGCATTAAATGAGATTCTGTGTGTAGGATACCACATCGTTGTTAACACGGATACTTAAAATGGAACAGATACTGCAGTAACATATCTTACCGTAGGGTCTGAGAATAAGATTATTCAAGGCAAAGAAAGTACTGGTGGGTTAAACAAGGTAATATCCTATACAAACCACGGGCCTGTTCTCTATGCTTCCTATGTCCTGGTGGCTGTGGAGGGTACCAAGGACCTTATAAGTACCTTATAAGTACTACACATTTTATTGAACATGCACAATTCACTAAGCAGTAAGTTTAGTTTTGTGACAAAATTTTAACTTCTTCTACAATATATCTTCCAAAGAAATCATGCACAACCACACTCACGTGACAAGACTCCAAAGACTCAAAATAAATAGAAATAACATACTTAAATACTGTTGCAACACTGGGACTCTCAGTCATACAGACGACAAACAGCGACGTTGAGTGAAGGCAAAGGGCACTTCTGCAGGAACTGACCATTACATCAGGGAATCTCAACTTGTTTTCCTAGGATGAGCGATGGACAATTTGTGTGGGGGCTCATCTTTCAGAAGCAGCCCTCCTCTGTCCCGTAGGCGCCCATGGGTCTCCCAGTCATTCTGAAGTACCAAGGTCTCCTTGCAGGCTACCCGCTCTGCTCCTTCTTGCTTTGTTCTCTTCTCTCCCAGCTTCCACTGCCGAGTGATTGGATCTGGTCAGTCCTACAGCATCTGCAGCTTGCCTGGCCCACTGCACTGCTCTGGTCATGTGTAGCTCTGCCAAACTCAGACCACAGGCTGAGAATCCCTGCTTTAAGATCAGCAGTTTCAATGCTGGTTTATGTCTCTTCAAATTGTATATCTGGAGAATGATAATGATAAACATAACTCATATTTGCTAGATGACAGAGTATATTTGCAATGAGAGAGACACAGATTATATTTAGGTCAAATTATCTTTATGTAATAAAGTGTAACCAACCATCTGGTTTGCCCGGGTTTGTTCTGGTTTTAAAACCGAAAGTCCCATGTTCTGAAAAACCCCTTAATTATGGGCAAATCAAGAGAGATGGTTGGTCACCCTAGGATACTCCAAACAACATTCACTATTTAGTTTTATAAAACAGTTGAATGGAATTGACCACATAACGAAACCTGCCTGAGCTCATCCAAACTACTTAGATTACTTTAAATTAGGGCTTGTTGTGAAGTTTGGTTTCTAACTGCATTAAAAAGAATTAGAAATCTTAATATAACTTTCTTCTTAGTTCAGTCAGGTGGGTAAAGTCTTTCTCACCTCTTATAAAGGAACACATTTTTGGTGAAATGAATTTAAGTGGTAAGTTAAGAGTAAAGTTCTATAGTCAGGCTAGTGGGCTCCAAAGCCTGATTTCTCTCAGGTATGAGTCCTTGGGCAATTTGATATATATTTTCTTGACTCTCTGGTTTTTTTCTACTGTAAGATGGGAAATATCCTAGTATTTATCTCTTTGATTTTGTTGGGGGGAGATTAAACGAGGCACTGCATATGAAGCAGTTAACATAGTGCCTGCTACTCAAGTTTTATCTCTCTCTCTCTCTCTATCTACGTTACTCACCCACATGTCAACTTAGTCCCCTTTTGCAGGGAGCTGTTAGGATGCAGAGCTATAAATCTAGCAGAGAGAAGATGCTTCCTCCCCCATCCCCAAAGATGCTCACGACTCTACACTCCAGGGCCATCTCTAAATCTCCTTGGACTATGGGGAGAGTTCTTATATTAGAATTGTGAGGCAAAGAGGGGTCAGTAGCTCCAAGAGCCAGCATTCTTTCAAAGTGAGGAGAGATTATGGTTGATAGCTTTCTCCTTTTTATTACTTTAACTTTTTTTTCTTTTTAAAACTTTCAACTTCCTAACCCCTGCTAATATTCTTACCATTTTGTTTCTTTGAGATCCTATCTCGGATGCCCACATTTTTCCACATCCATATTTTTCCCTTGAGAAAAAAAAAGTCATTTTTATTCCCATGTAACACAACTCTACATCCCACGTAGTGACTCAAGTTTGAATTCCAAGTTCCTATGAAACATTTTTAATCCCCTAGGAAATCTGGTAGACTTCTGAATTTATTCCATGGGTTCCAACCCCTGAGGTCAATTCAACAATTTAGGGCATATGCTTTTGCTCCTAGATTTTATTTTTTATTTATTTTTTTTAGTAATCTCTACACCCAACGTAGGGCTCAAAGTCACGACCCCAAGATCAAGAGTCGCATGGTCTTCTGACTGAGCCAACCAGGTGCCCCACTCCTAGATTTTCTTTAGGAATATACACTTTTAATTCTCCATCCTTCCCTCAAAGATAGACCACACACTGAGGCACTTTATTATACATTCCTAATGATGACTAATTACTTTTCATGGGGAAATATTCAAAATGCAAGTTGGCAAGAGTTACTTCCTTGGACAAATCAACTCCATCTCAGGATCATCATTATCATTGGACCTTGAGCTTTGTATTCTGGCTAATTGTCTCAGTTCTGTTAAATACCTATTCTTTAGAAATAGCTGACCTCTACTCAATTACACCACTTTCCGAGATCCACCCATCCTTTTAAGGGGCTGTGGGGAATTTTTCAACCACCATTGGAATTCCCTTCCATCTTCCACTTCCCTATTTGACCTCAGATAACTCCACACACAGATCATCACTGGATCCCCTGCTATACTCTCAAAGTACTGGGGGAAATGTCTACTTTGAATCATCTTAAAAGGGGAGGAAATTATTTGAATAGATGCATTTTCCTGTGTTTTAATTGTTCCCATGGGCAAATAGAGAAATAAACACATGGAAATTACTTTGAAAACTATTTAGCACCCTCAGCCAGAAATCTTGTAAAATACTCTATGGTAAAACCATCACCGCTCTACAGAAAAAAACTATTTTTATTCCTTAGGGTGCCCAGAAACCAGCTCAATATAACAGTGCAACTAATGCAAGACTCAAATTCAACTGAAGCTGACAGGCATTTTAGCTTTTTGTCCCTTACTCTAAGTCTGTGGTTATTTGCATGATGGAAAGAAACTGTACGGAGCTTGGTCTTCTTCACCCTCTGTACATACCCATTCTCCCACCTCTCACCCCCCAACACATGATCTTCACCCAGCAATCCTGCTGGGCTTTGCTGTCATTGCTATTGAATAGTGGAATGTCTTTGTGCCACCTTGCAAAGGCAAATCAGGTTTCCCTGCAGCTATGATCCAACTGTCACCCCCTTGGAAATGCTCCTACAAGTGTTCACTGCCACCTTCCAATATAAGCTATGCTGCGGGACAATGAAACGAACACGACTGGAGTAAGAGATGAGACACAGTTTCACATGGTAGCATAGCTGAAACCCACTTTGCATAATTGAAAGTTGGCCCTAGAAGAGAATGCTAATAGGAAGGCAGCATTTTATAAATCTGTGTTTCCTGATTGGGCCACCACTAGCATTCTGGGGAGGAGAGTTCCCTGTTACGTGGGACTGAGCCGCACATTACAGAAGGCTGAGCATCCCTGGCTCTGCCTGTAAGTGCTGCCGTGAGAACAGTAGCAGCCCCGTTACATTGCCCCATATGCCCAGTGGAGACCATTGCAATAAAGCAGATACCATTTCTCTTTAGACAGATGACTGCTAGGGTTACAGCAAGAAACACCAGGACAGCTCCCAGAACCACGAAGTGAGTCCTCTCATTTGGTGGAACTGGAAGGGGTTCTGAAAAACAAAAGAAAACAAAAAGAAACTAAAGATGAAATTTTGATGGGAAGGGGTCAAGAGAATAATCATCCTTGAAGTTGAATTTCGGTTAGCTTTGGGTTACAGTGAGTGGCTGGAATGGTGGGATGCTGGCAGGAAAACGGGAGCAGCCCAGAAAAGGGGAAGCAGCCCAGGCTTTGGACAGATGGGCTGGGGTTACATTCTGCTGCCACTCACTAGCTTTGAGATCTCAGGCAAATCCTTTCACCTGCTTACAAAATGGAAATGATAATAAATTTATTGGGAGGCCAATATTTGTGAAGTGCTTATCACACACAGGTAGTTGCTGCTCAGTCCTAAAAGGGAGGCTTGGTGACCTCTCTTGCCTTCTTTAATCTAGAAGCTAGCGGCCTGTTGTACGTGGTAAAGATGGGACAGGAAGGCCAACTGGCACTGCCCAAGAGCTTCCACCTCCTAGTGTATGTGGCCATGATTCAGGGCCACCGCTTGCTATCTTTTCTTTCTCAGTTTGAACATCTCAGGACGTCTAATCCTAGGTACTTCTTACCAATCTGTCTGTGGTTCCATGAAGGAAGAAAAGGGGTCCCCTGGCACACGATGCTCAGAGACTGCTAACTCCCTCCTCCCTCCATCGGTCACGATCCCTGACGACATCGTTCAAGCTTTAAAGCCACAACAGTGGTCAGCCTTCCTCTAGTAGCTTACAGTTTACAAAGCCTGTTTATATCTATTTTACTTCAATCTCAAAATAAGTTCAGTTTAGGCATGCAAGATGTTAAAAAAAAATCCGAGGTGATAGATGAGGAAACAGACCCCAAGCAGTTAGGTGAATTACCCTAAGTCTTCCCACAGATAGGTTGTCATAAAGCAACTTTTAAATGGCAGGAACCCATGAATGCCGCCCTAGCTACCAAAGTGACTCATAACCCAGTAAGAGCATCTTTTTAAGTTTCTCGACTTTTTTTTTTTTTTTTTTTACTCTTTTCATTCATGGGACCATCCTGTATTGCCTTTTCCTATTGGTTGACTTTTCCACCCGAGTTCTTAGTTGTTTTTTCTGAAGTAGCTGAAGCTATACTGGCAACATCTACTAGAAGAGGGGGCATTGAGAAGTGCCTCTCAGAACACCTCTGGGTTTATGTTAACATCATGCTCTCCTGCCTCACTTTCTCTAAAGGTCTCAGCCTCTCATCAGACTATGCAGCCCACTGTACCCACTCCTGTAGGGTAGTAAGAAAAAAAATAATTGAGTCTGTGCAGGCAAGAGCCTCAAATCATTTTCATATGCTGTAGCTCATTCGCCCCTATGGTAACCTTGCCCGATAGTTTATAACTGTTATAACTAGGGAAAGTGAAGCACACAGAAGTTGAGGAGCTTAGGCAGGGACCAAAACCTTATGTCTTACACACTAAGCAGATAGACCGCTTTGTGTTGAAATGTCATAGACTATCTTGGGGGTCGGGTGGACAGATGGGGTACGTTCCATTTGCTTGTTACCACAGAAACCCTGGAAAGAGAGGAGCAGCTCTGATGTGCTGGGATCTGGATTCCTGAAACACTGCCTGAGCTGAGTCTTCCTCAGACCATCTCCTACATGGGATGGGATTGCCTTATCTGTTTCTTATCTGTTTCCTGGAGAGTGTGAACAGTGTCTTACTCTTCTATGAGCCCCTGCTGCCTGGCACATAGGGCATACTCAATAAATATTTGCTGAATGTTTATTAAACAGCAATATGGACTTGGATGGAGAGGAAGAAGCATTTTGTATAGTGTTATACATGCATTCACTTATTCAATGAATGATGGATGCCTACAATGAACAGGCACCATGCTAGAGGCCATAGGACAGCAGTAGGCACATTTGAATAGAGACATTCAGATTATTACCTGGAATGACCAACTTAGCGGTATTGTTTCTGTTTCCCTCAGGACCTGATCTTCGAAAAGTGCAGTAGAAAATCTCGTAAGCTGTTGTGTTGACTCTGAGTGTGCTGGTCACATTGAAAAGCTTCTCCTCCCTGTTGGAATTAGTGATGGTGGTTTTGCCACTCAGTACTCGATGGTCACTGCTTGTCCAGATGACTTCAGCCTCAGGGTAACCCTCAGCCTGACACATTAGTTCGTGTTCAGAGGTGACAGGATCCACAGAAATTCTTTGGTTGATTTTGCGGTATGGGGCTAGGTCATGAGCAAAAAGAAGTCAGGGCTTTCACTTAGGACAAAACTAGATACGTGGCTTGGTGTTGTCTACCTTAGGAAAAGTATCAATTTAGGCGGGTTCTCAGAGAAATAAGCTTGATGTTCAGATGTCTCAGCAGTGAGGAACCCGTTAGCTCTGCTCCAACTCGCCCATTCATAGTTGGGCTACGTCTGAGCTCAAAGGAACAACTACCTAAAATCATATTGCTATTTTTATTGGGCTCCAAGTAAATGCACAGATTAAAGAGAACTGTCATCTTTAAACCAATAGTCTTTCTATCCAAATATAAAATATGTCTGTCCATTTAATCAAGTCTTTGTATCTTTCTCATAATGCTTTATAGTTTTTGCATAGGGCCAACCCATTTCTTCTTAAATTTATTCCTGGATATTTTCTTTTTGTTGTTGTAATGCTGTCTTCGTAACATGAACCTCTCCAGCTGCCCAGCACGGTTTTCTTAGACTTTATTTAATAAACAGAAAATCTGATTTTCATGTGCCATTCACTTTTCCAACTGTGAGTCAATGATCAGAAATTAAGTATGAAAAGAATACGGTATCATTATAAAAACTGGTATGTGCTCCTGGATAACACTTTTTAAAGTTTGAATTTATTTTTTACTTCAAAATAGTTTTCGGGGTGCCTGGGTGGCTCAGTTGGTTAAGCGACTGCCTTCGGCTCGGGTCATGATTCTGGAGTCCCGGGATCGAGTCCCACATTGGGCTCCCTGCTCAGCAGGGAGTCTGCTTCTCCCTCTGACCCTCCTCCCTCTCGTGCTCTCTATCTCTCGTTCTCTCTCTCCCATATAAATAAAATCTTTTAAAAAAATAGTTTTAGATTTACAGAAAAATGGCAAAGATAGTCGAAAGTCCCCCCATACCTATCACCCAGTTCCCCCCTACTGTTAACATCTTATATTACCATGGTGCATTTGTCATAACTATGGAACCAATGTTAGCACATTACTATTAGCTGAACTTCACATTTCGTTCCATTTCACTTTTTTCCCTAATGTCCTTTTTCTATTCTAGGATCTCATCCAGAATACCACATTATGATACTTATTTTTTGAACTTTTTTATGCTGGCTATTTGAATAAGTCATTTAAATAATTATTATACTCAAAGAAAGTTCAAATTTTAGATCATCGATTAAAATTTAGCTCATTGGTTTGGGACCTTTTAGGATTAAGATACCATGTGTACTATTTTAGTAGATTATTTAATGCATTTACCTCCCCTAAGATCTTTATTTATGTTTATTCATGACAAGCATGGTAACGTGTCATTATTCTATTGGTATAATCTTTGTTTTACTCCTACTACTTTAGTGTAACCACCAGTGTTCCACCCAGAGCCTTGACTCTCCATTCCTTTACAAAAGGTTTAACAATGGCTTTGTGGTAAGATATATTCACAGAGATTTAATACAAAACACTAAGAATCAAACAAGTCTGAAATAACGATGTGAGTACTTGAGTCCTCAACCTTGTATGTGTTATATTTAAGAATCCTTTAAAAAAATAAATACACTGATTATACTTCCTGAAAGAGTATTACCGTAACAGTGTCTGGTTCACATAGCACAGAGCTTGATTTCTGGGTAATTTAGTTTTCAAGACTAAAATCACAGATAATGGTAAAGTATTAAAGGTAAAATGTTTGCTTTTTTACTCTTATAATTTTTAACGGAATAATAAAGGAGAATGTTGCTTCATGCCTAAGCATGTGTATAAATGTGGTATACTTCTCAGGGCCCAATAAATGAGTGGAATAGTTCTACTCATTGATTAGATATCCACTATTCTAGTCTCTAAAGTAGGGCACATGTGTTGGGATACTGGAAGAAAATATTAGAACTTCCACTTATATATTTTTATCATAATAATTAAGAAATAATCTAAGCTTAATAAACTTTACGAATTGACAATGGGCCTCACTTTGTATGCCATATGAGGGTCTTAGGGGAAAAGGGAAATTTTATAACACCAAAGGAGAACAGTGACTCCTTTGGGCTTATTACAGATTTCCAGATTCTCTTATTTAATTTTAACTAGACTAACCTGCTTACAAAATGAACCACCAATTAAAAATTTTCCCACAACAAAACTGAGGATGGAATACTAACACTTCAAGCACAAACCACAAGGAAGTGGCAGGAGGCACAATTTTTTTACCACCACTTTATGAAGTTAAAACAATAAGTACCTAATTGGACCTGATAAGGTGTTGGTTTAAAAACCCTCAAGATTGTAGATAATGCTGCTATAGACACTGTGGTGCATGTAACCCTTTGACTCAGTATTTCTGTATCGTTTGGATAAATGCCTAGTAGGGCAAGTGCTGGATCACAGGGTAGTTCTATTTTAACTTTTTGAGCAACCTCCATACTGTTTTCCTACAATAGCCAAATTATGGAAATAGCCCATTTGTCCATTGACTGATGAATGGATAAAGAAAACGTGGTATGTATGTGCATATAAACACACACACACACACACACACACACACACACACACAGGAAATATTACTCAGTCATAAAAAAGAATGAAATCTTTTTTATTTGCAATGATGTGGATGGAGCTAGAGAGTACAATACTAAGTGAAATAGTCAAAGAAAGACAAAAACCATATGATTTCACTCATATGTGGAATTTAAGAAACAAAACAAATAAGCATGGGGAAAAAAAGAGAGAGAGAGGTAAATGAAGCAACAGACTCTTCACTGTAGAGAACAAACTGATGGTTACCAGAGGGGGGTGGGTGGGAGGGTGGGCTGAAGAGGCACTGGGGATTCAGAAAGGCACTTGTGAGGAGCACTGGCTGCTGTGTGAAGTGCTGAATCCCTATACTGTACACCTGAAACTAAAAACAAAAAACCAAACCGAAAACTCAAGATTGTCAAGACCATCCACCTGTGTTAACAATGAATTTCACCTTGAAGTATTAGCTAATGATAGTGAATCATCATAATTAACAAGGCATTAAAATATGATTAAAGTTTTATTTCTACCTCTAAAAATTTCTATTTTATACATTTATAGAATGTACAATGCATTAGTTTGAACCATACGAAGTTAGTGATGTTCAACTTCTTTTACCTTTTAAAAATGTCAATTTCTTATGCTATATCCTTTACAGTAGCACAAGTATATCCCTTCTAACTACACACACACAAATACACACGTATTAGCTAACATGCTTTACTGATGGAGCAGGTTACACATGTGCTAATCCAATGGTCACATCAAGACTAAGAAGAGCTCACTGTAGTTTTAAAGTCAATATACAACTTCATACACACTCTGGAGGTATAAATGCTGGGAGTAAAACCTGGTTGTTACGGGCACAGACTTCAGAACTAGATTACCTGAGTTCAGAACCTGGCTTTACCACTTAATGGCTGAGTGAACTTGGGTAAATTACTTAATTTCTTTGGGCCTCAATTTAATCCTTCATAAAATGAGAATAACACCACACACATCATTGAATCTAAGATGCCATCTATTGAAAGACACACTTAGATACAGAGACAGTAAAATGTGAAAACATGCATCTTAGAGAAATGAAGCCCCTGCCCCATAGAGTCATTGAGGATTAAATGAGTTAGTATAGGCCAAATGCTTAGGACAGGGCCTGGCACATAATAAGTACTATGTAAGTGTTAATTACTACTATGATTGCTACTAGAGCTGCCCCTCCTCTTCTTACTACTACCACTTAAGTGTACTCATGTAATAGTCTTCAGAAAGTACTGGCAATTCCTCATGAACAGACTTCAAAATAAGTTTTCACAGATTCAAACCTGTTCATGTTTCAAAATTTTTACCCTATCCTATTTGAGGAACTATTTCATTCATTCATTCATTCATTCATTCATTCAACAAAAATTTTTGTGTGCTCTGTCAAACTCCTCCTGTATGCCAAGTCCTAGGGATAGAGCGGTGAATAGAACAGACCAAAATCTCTGCCTTTGTGGAGTGTATATTCAAGAAAGAGGAGAGCGATAATAAAACAGGTGCATTTATATGTGTTAGATGGGGATGAACAGGTTACATGATTCATTAGATGGGAAAGAATACAACAGAAAAAAATCTAGAGGCTGGCTGGTGAATCAGGGAGAGACGGTGTCAGTGGAGAATGATGGCAGTTAATCCTGGGTTCATATGAACAAATTAGCTTTATCAGGAGAGCTATGCAATACTTCGTTCTTTCAGTTGCCTAATCCCATTTAAGGTCTTTAAAGTATAAATGGGTATTTCATTTTCCTCACTATTAGGTTCGATGATTAAGGAAAAACAGCATTCTCAATTGGAAGTCAGATGCCTGAGAGTATGATATTTAAACTGATAAACACGAAAGGTGCAATAATACCCACAGTGATAATAATAATTGAGTTAATCCAAAACTAAACTCTGAACACATTTCAGTTTTGAAATGCTTCACCTATAAAATCCCATGGTTAGTAAACTCCCTGTGGGGAAGCTGTGCCACCACATGTTTGCCGTGATGGGAAGAGAAGTGTTACTGTGAAATCATTTGCATAGAGAGGTGACTCAGGAATTGTACTTCCTTGAGTGTGAAGCTCATGCAAGAGGACTATTTCCATTGGTGACACCGCCTCAATGCAAGTGAAGCTTGGTGGCTGGCTTGCTCTCAGTGTAGCTCAACTCAACACCCAAGACCACTGTGTGCAAATGACCACAAAACGGACTGGGACTAGGATGCCAATTTAGTAATTTATAATATAAAACGAAATGGTCAAAACAAATCAGATCCTCAAATCTGGCTGGTCATCTGCTTTGCTCTATCAGGAACCCCTTCTTGGAAAAACCCTCAGTGCCCAAATGTTTCCTACTGTATTGAGCCACAACAAAGGACATCACAGATCCGCAGTGGACATTACAGACCCCAAAGGACCTGAAGGAACACCCTTCCTTGTTACAGGACAGCTGTCCTACCCTTCGCATACTCCCTGAGGGCTGATGAGAGACCCTTTCTTCTAGAAGCAGGAACTTACACTCTATACTTCCTTTCACCTGACTGCCAGGCTTACGTTCTTCCTCCCCAGCCCGGATCCAGCAATGCTGGTCACTCATGGGGCTAAGTGTTGATAATTTCTTTAAGGTCATGAAACACAGTCAGTGCCTGGTATTTGCTGATGGCTGAAGAAAAGTTGAAAATCCCAAATTGGGATCCCACCAGCTTGCTTTCATAAATATCACTGTTCTGGAGAAGTATACGGCAAAATATAATGGAAATTAAATCTACTTCCCAATACAAGTGACACCTTCTTGACCACAGTAGCATAAATTGATCCAGAATCAGAAACCCAGTAATGTGCCATTAAAATAGATGCATTTCTCCCAGTTGCTCTAAAATTTTGACTGAGTTTACAATGATCATTTATCCCTTTATGATAAATGTAAACTTCTTCTACTTGTAATATTGATCTTCAGATTGAAGGTAGTTAAGCCAGAATGGAAAGAACAAGGAGTGATGACTGGATTCTGATCACAAATTCAAAGGTCATCATGTAAACAAAAGAAGCAGGCAGATAATCTCGAAACTATGACTAGAGAGGGTAGATATCAGCTCAGTTTCAGACAATAATTTCAAAAGGCTATGGAAGGGAGGTCCAAGTGACCGGGTGTCATTGTGGAAAGAATGTGAGCAGAAGATCCCTTAGGGGGGATTTCTGTTCTTCAGGAGTTTGGATTAGCTGCTCTTACTTGGGATCCTTTCATCTCTCAATTCTGTGAATCTTAACAGTGAAAGTAGAGGGGGTCAGCTAAGGTGTTTTCCTTTTCTTATCTAGTAGCAACACAAAACTTTGAACGCAGGTAACCTGATGACATATTTGTGGGTCAGTACCTGGGAATTTGATACTCACAGTTCCTCTACAACTCCAAGATGACAGCGGTGTAGATTCTCAAGATGAATATATGCCCAGTGAGCATAGCTTATACTGTCTCTAAAGAACAGTTTCCTTTATGTTTGATACTATTTTTTGCCTTTATAGATTGACTTCAAGCCTTTTTGAATGTGAACCTCACAGTGGGGTTTGTTTTTACTATATTAATTTGGATTTGACATAGAGAGGTATAAAAGAAGAAAAATGATGGCAGGTTTAATAAAATTTTTTAAAAATTATAGTTGAATGAAAAAATTCCTGGAGGGACACACAAACAGTGGCTACTAACTTGACATGCCATGGAAGGCGGCAGTGAAGGGGGAAGGACACTTTTGTAATTCAGGTTATTCCCTTCCATACTGTCTGAATGATTTGCAAGTACCTGTATCACTTTCATTAGAATAAAAAAGTAAAGACTAAGAATTTATTTTTAGCAGAAGCGAACATACTGTGGAATATGGTCCTACCATGTCCGGCTCTGGATCTCCAGGGACTGCCAAAGAGGAAGTGTTTGAGAAATGCTCATTGGAGGGGCGTATGAATGAATGAATGTGCAGATTGCCACCGTGGAGAGCAAGGTGGACTTCCAAGAAGGAAAAGTGCTCAGCACTGGGTTATGGTTTTCATAAAGACTGGGCCTCTTCCCCTGTATGTATTCTTACCATGAACTTTCAAAGTAATCCGCTTGTAGTCAGCACCGCCATAGCCGATCAAGCAGCAGTAAACCCCAGCATCCTGCAACTTCACGTCTGTGATCTGAAGCGCAGCCTTCCCCAAGAAGAGCTGGTCCTTCAGCAGCTGGGCCCTCTGGCTGTAGCTGCTGTGCTGAACTTGCAGGTCTTCCTTCCCGTTCACAAACTGAATGATTTTCTTATCCTCCATTTCCCAGTAAACAATTAGTGCAAGCAGGTTTAACTGTTTTTCTATCGGGAATTTGCACTCCATGGTCACATTGCCGCCGTACTCCACCACATACAGGTCCTTGGAAACTGTGATCATAAATGCTGAAGAGAAAGACGACCAATTTTCAGAAGATGGGAAACTCCTCAAAAAATTTACAGATAGTTTCAGTAATTATCCCTGGGAAATGGATAACAGGTAATGGACAAGTAGATAATGGGTTAATTTTCTTTAAGTTTAACCATATTCCCTATATCTTCGTCCAATGAAATGGGTTTATGAGATACAGAAGGAAAAACAGAGTATTTTCTCTACAAAAAAACTTACATCCATCTTAAGTAATTATTGTAGTTTTTAACTTACAGTTAAAATATTTTAAAATATAGAACCTAAGGAAAGGCCCTGGTATCTTACCTTTCAGCAAATGGCAGTAGGCCATGAATGCAAAGAGGCTAAATATCTTCATCTTTCTCGAGTGACCTAATTATGGAAAATGCAAAAAGAAAAATGCTTTATTCAATAATTGAACATCCAGACATTATGGGTCTTGGCAGTTCTAAATGAAATAGTCTTCTGATAACCAGAAAAATGACTGATTGGTTAGTGTGGAAATGCAGCATGGAATTTAGAAGTTTAATACCTTTACTTATAACCCACAGTCCTATAAAGCCAAGCGGAAAAAAGTTACTATGATGAGAATCTTTAAATGTAATTACAAGGCCTGAAAAAAAACTTATAATGAACCCTCGAAAGAGGCCAAGAAGAAAATATCGCACTAAAATCCTCTCAACTATTTCATGTTTTTTCTGCAGTGGAACATATCTAGAAATCCAAACCTGCACTGTGCAAAATCTCAAAGCAAGGACAACCTGACTTCATATCTCCCACCTCTTAATGCTTTTTATTCCACCCTTGCCTCTGAATATTTTCATCCTACCCTTAACTACTCAGGCCTCCCGTGTCACCATCCCAGCTATGCCCCTTTTCCCGCAGGTGCCGTCTTTCAGAAATCTACTCTTCTGTCCTTGGCTTACTCCAAGTTATAAATCCTATTCTCTCAATAAACTGATTCCACTAGTAGCAGGAGTGAGAAGGAGAAACAGTTTAATTTGACCAATTCAGACTAAGGTGTGAATGACTACTTACAGCCACTCTTTTAGGGGTATCTGCCTAGATTCTATTCTTCATTTTGTCATTCTGCTTGAAATTCTACCAATTCTTTACTTCAGCAAACATTGATTGAGCACCTCTTCTGTCCCAGGCACTTTTAGGTACTAGGAATACAGCAGTGAACAAGAAAGAAAAATCACTCTCATTTTGGACCTTATATTCAAGCAGGGGAATAAATAAAGATTTATACTGCATTTCAGCAAATTTGTTTATTTTCTTTTTTTTTAATTTTATTATGTTATGTTAATCACCATACATTACATCATTAGTTTTTGATGTAGTTTTCCATGATTCATTGTTTGCGTATAACACCCAGTGCTCCATGCTATACATGCCCTCTTTAATACCCATCACCAAGCTAACCCACCGCCCCCACTCCCCCAAGAACCCTCAGTTTGTTTCTTTATTAACACATTTCCCTCTTGTGTTATACATATATTTACACACTTTGAGAAGTCCGTTTTCCCTCTTAAGGTCTCTTTGACCTCTTGTATACATATATAGAAAATCACCAATGATCTATTAATCTATGCTACACATATATAAGACGGAAGATTTATGTTCCTAATATATAAATAGCTCCTAAAAAATCAGTAAGAAAACCACACACAACCCAACAGAAAATTGAGCAAAAGGTTCTAGCATACAGTTCAGAGAATAAGAAATACAAACAACATCTACACATCAGAAAGGATGCTCAATCTCAATTTTTAAAAAAGTATAAGTTTAAAACATTAGGTACTATTTTTCACTTATTAGCTTACCAAAATTATAAAGATTCCTAGTGTTTGTAAAGATATGAACAACTGGGTTTTCTCACTGGGGGGTAGGTAGGAATGGTAGGAATGTGAAGTTATATAACCTTTTTTGGAAGGCAATTTGACAATCTCCACTAAATTTTTAAATGTATATGATATATGAGCTTTCACTTCCCCTCCTAGAAATGTATCCTACAAAAACAAAAACATATATATAAACAATACATGTGAAGTGATGACATTGATAATTCTAGCCACAAACTGGGAATATTCCAGATAGCCTAGTTAAATAAATGTTGTTATAGTCCTACAATGTAATACCACTAAGGACAGAATTGTATTGATTTTGCAAAGATGTAGAAAGTAAGTTGCAGAGCCGTACATGTAGAAACCTACTTTAGTTTAAAAACAAAGGAAGAAAAATCTGTGTGTTTAGACATAGGAAATGTCCAGAAAAATCCATACCAATATGCTGATAGTGATTATCTCTAGGAGTGAAATCAGAGGGATGATAAGCAGGTTTTCACTTTTTTATACTTTTTTAAAGATTTATTTATTTATGAGAGAGAGAGAGCAGGGAGAGAGGCAGAGGGAGATGGAAAGAGAGAATCCCAAGCAGCCTCCATGCTGAGCGAGGAGCCCCAAAAGAAGCTCGATCCCATGACCCTGAGATCATGACCTGAGCCTAAACCAAGAGTCTGATGCTAAACTGACAGAGCCACCCAGATGCCCCATTTTTTAAATAATTTTTAAAAGGAAGAAAGGATGGGAGGGGAAAAAAAAGGGAGAGGAGATTGTTAATGATTTCTTTGTTGCTTTTTCTGAGTCCACATTTTCAAATAGATACATTTTCCTCTTAGTAGAAAAAAATAAAAAAACAAATTTAGTGAACCATTTCACCTTGCTAAGCTGCAGAATGTTTGGGAGACAGAGTGGTAGAATGGAAAGAACCCTAGAAACTCACACATCAGAGTTGAGGTAGAATGATATTTGTTTATTTTTATGTTTTTCTTCATTATTTAAGTAATAGAAACACAATATAGAAAATGAGAAAAGAAGGGGAAAAATCACCCACTATTCCATTACTTTAACCCAGGAAGCATTTGCTAATGCCTAGAAATAGTTTTGGTTCTCAAAATGCAGTGGGGTGGGAGCGAGGATTTCTACTTTCTAGTGGGTAAAGGTCATGTTGCTGCTAACCATCCTACAATGTGTAGGACAGCCACCACAGCAGAGATTTGTCTAGGCCTAGGTGTCAACAGTGCCAAGGCTGAGAAAACTTGTAACCACTGTGAGCATTCCAGTATACATTTTTCTTCTAGTCTTTCCCCCTGTGAATCTTTGTAAAAACAATTATAACCTTATCATACATTTCACACTCATCTTTTCATTGACTGTTACAATGTTTTCCATTTTACTGAATGATATTCCTAAGTATTTTAGTGTTCCCATAATGTTTAGTTCCCCTATTGTTAGGTTTAAGATTGTTTCCAGTTTTAAAAATATCATACATACTTGTGTATTCAGCAAATATTCGGTAAGTGCCTACTGTGTGCCAGGCTGCAGGCCAGGCCCTAAGGACAGATTTCCGCAAGTGGAATTGTTGATCAAGGAGAAAGAACATCTTCCTGGTTCCTGATACACGTGGATAATTGGTACCAGTTACATTGTATCTTTACTGGGTATGGTTTTAAAAATATTTTTTCTAATTTGATTATTGAAAAGTTATAATTTGAATTTTTCATGGGTTTGTTAGTTATTTCGGTTCTTTTGTGAATTATTTCATCATTTTTTGGCATGTTTATCTTATTAGTTTCTTATCAATCTGTATGAACCCTTCATGTTCATGTATACATATATGGGTAAAAATAAAAAACCATAAAGTAAAATAAGTCATCATTCTCTTGTTAGTGTTAGGTGCATGATTCCTATTTCTCTCCTTTCTCTCTCTTCTCACACAGGCCCGTGAGAACATGAAGACTGTTGAAGATGAGGATGCAGAAGCTATCTCCCTGGCCTTTCCTTGGGCAAAAGTTGCTTACACAACAATTACAAAATACTGTAATATAATAAACAGAAATATATTTATTGCTCAAAAGAAAACGTAAGATACCCCTTAAGATACCCAAGCAAAGAACTGCTGAATAAAACAAAGAGAAATAAAATCCATTTACTGGTTAAAACCAGTTTTGCCAATGTTTACGGCGTTTGGTTAAAAATTTAGGGGTAATAAAGTTTACTGGAAGCTGATGGGTTAGACCTGGTATTTACCTAATTCCTCAGGCTACCACCTTTTCCCAAGGTTTCCTTCCCTTGGAGTACAGCTGTCATTAGTGTGGGGACAAAAAGAAGAGAGACTATGTGAATAACGGTGGTCTTTGATCCCTAAACCCCACATCAGGGCAGTTGGTCTAAGAGAACACTGACATCTTCAAGTCAGAAACTATATAATGGTATACCTGGATTCCCAGGCAAGAGCATTCAAAGAGCAGGGAAACGTGAACTAGGGAAGAAATGATGGTTCATTCAGGATGGAGAAGCAGGTTTGTCCCTGGGGAACTCATTATAACACTATGCAACTGGTAGTACTTCTCTATCTCCCAAGGGTAGCAAGCGTAGGAGGTAAAGACAGGAAAAGAATTCAAGCTTCCTTTCTCAAAAGTAGGAACAAGGAGTGTCTTGATAGCTGTTGGTTTAGGGTCTCCTTTGACTTTTATTTGACGTATATAAACTATAATTTGATTTAAAAAAATTCCTAGAGTTCAACAATGTATCTCCAAGATGAAAACCCACCCCATTAATAGATCAAGAGAGTTGATCTATTAAACCCAACTAGAACCTGTGCCAAACTCCTTCCCCTCCTCAGTCACCCTGAGACATTCTTGCATGTTTCCCAGGTGGCTTCAAATCCCTGCACTATCTCAGTGGCTTCTTTTAAGACTACACTCTAACTACTTTCCTGTAACCTCTGCCTACTCTATTCCACTGAAAAAGGCTGATTTTTTTTTCTTTAGACTATCATAGTTCTTAAAAACTGCCGGCAACTGCCAATGTAAACTGGCTTTTCCTTGAAGGTGATTTCCAATTTGCACCAAAAGGCCTTTTAAAATATTCCCTCTTTGCCTAAGTAGTTAAACTTAAAAGAGTTTGTCTGAAGGAAATAATCAGTAATGTCCCAGAGATTTACAAGCAATGATGTTCACTAAATGGCTAAGACACTTAACCACTGTAAATAATCTTTATGTCCAGCATGGGGTATTAATTTTGTACCATGGAATGCAGCCATTAAAAAAAATATACACATTTTAGAAGACTATTTAATCCATAGAGGGGCGCCTGGGTGGCTCAGTTGGTTGGTTAAGCATCTGCCTTCGGCTCAGGTCATGATCTCAGGGTCCTGGGATGGAGTCCCACATCGGACTCTCTGCTCAGTGGAGAGTCTGCTTCTCCCTCTCCCTCTCCCTCTGTGCTTTCCCCCTCTCTCTCAAATAAATAAAATCTTAAAAAAACAAAATAATCCATAGAAAAACCACACAAGGTATTTTTTTAGGTGCAAACGAAGTGAAACAGTGATACTTGAAACGCTACCTGTATTATAAGTAAAAGACCATGGTCTTTCTCCATCAGGACTCCTGTAGGTCCTCAGAGGGATAAAGCAAAAAGAGCTAGGGTTCGGGTGTCCTGGCTCTTACTTACAGTAGGAGGGAGCCTTAGGAGACGCCGCAGGCGTGATGATTTACTCAGCGTACTGCTAGAGAGCAGCTAAGGGTGAACTAGGACCCGGGTGCTCGACCTCCAGCCTAGGAATTCCCTCTAGACCCAGCTGCATACCTCAGGACCACCTTCATGAACGTGCAGAAACACATACTTACAAAACTGATATTAAGCAAAACCGAATCCCCCCCCGCCCCCCAAGAAAGGTCAAACGTCTCAGCTGTTCCTATTATAGCCTACACAGGTACCGGCTCTACTGCCGCGTGAAACCATCGCGCTTTCCCTGGCCCTTCTCGTCTCTCCATCCCAAAGAAAAGGTCGTCTGAGACCAGCTGCTTTTTAAAGTGCCACCCAAGGTGGCCACAGGCACCTCTCGAGGGAAGGACGCTCCCTACCTGCTGGCGGGGGGACTGGCGGCGGGCGCGGAGGCTCGGCACGCTGTACGCAGGCTGCCAGGGCAGCGGCCCGGGGACACTCTAAGGAGCCGGCGGCGGGAGGGGCCGACGTCCCCGCCCACTGCCCGCTCCGCCCGGGTCAGCCCCGCAGCGGGGTTCAGTTACTTCCCTCCTCGCTGCCCTTGGAAGAAAAATTCAGGAAACCGAAAGTGAAACTCACCATTCCGGTTTCTTGTAAATCAACTTTTAAAAAGAAAAGCTTCAAGGATTAAAGGAAACACCATCCTCTATTTTAAAAATTTATTTATTTACTTGACAGAGAGAAAGAGAGCACAAGTAGGCAGAGTGGCAGGCAGAGGGAGAGGGAGAAGCAGAGTCCCCGCTGAGCAGGGAGCCCTACCTGGAGCTTGATCCCAGGACCCTGAGATCATGACCTGAGCGGAAGGCAGACACTTAACTGACTGAGCCACACAGGTGCCCCCAACATCTCATATTTTTTAAAAACAAAGGTTTAAAACAAACCAACTTCAGACGTGTAAAGTAAATTACCGTAAGGATTTCAGACAGTCAGTTTTATCTTCAGGATCCAGACACCTTAAATTCTGCCATCAGGTGTCCCCCTCCGATAAAAACCTTTTTACAAGATGAGGGAACATCTTGACATAACTTGATATAATTCTACAATATATACAAAATATGATGACAGCTCCACATGGCTTTGGTTTTTATTCTAGAAAGTAGGTGTGTCTATAATAAGAAATATATTTTTAATAAGTGGATTTTGAGGACTTCCTCAAAGTTCCTCGACATAATGAAACTTCAATTGTTTGTCATCAAAAGAACTTCCTATCACCAGTTACACCTTTTCAGAATGCTCTGGACCCCTGCTATCTTGCCGTCTTTGGGATCCAGATTAGGTTAGCACATTCCAGGTGAAGATTAAGAAAACCCTTCCAGGGATAACTCCAGATCAATGGATGACCCAGCCAGAAACCATGTGAGTCACACAGAAGGTGATGGCATAATTTACTTAAGCATTCCCCACTGTTGGACTTCTAGGTGCTTCCCTCTCTTTCTCCTTCCTTCTTCTCTTTCTCCTCCTCCTCTCTCTAATTTTAAATTGATAAACTGAAGTCTTCATTGTTTGACTTTCCTGCTTATTCATTTCAGCTGCAATTCAAACTAGGGCGTAACGCAAATGAATATTGAGATGTCCATTGGCTTGGTTATGGCATTTGCTTCCCAAGTAAGAATTTTCACATTCTCAGACTATCACATATTTTTTTTTTTACTTGTAAAAATACTGAGGATGATACTGCCTTAAAAATCTGGTAGCGAGTATGGAATTCTCTTAAGTCTCAATAAAGTTGAAATAGACTTGGATTCAGCTGAGATGCTCCCTCTTTCAAATCTCTCTCTCTTTTAAGATTTTATTTATTTGAGAGAGAGGGAGAGAGCATGAGCCAGGGGAGAGGCAGAGGGAGAGGGAGCCTGCTGTGTGGGGCTTGATCCAGGACCCTGGGATCATGATCTGAGCCAAAGGCAGATGCTTAACTGACTGAGCCACCCAGGCAGCCCTCAAGTCTCTTTTTAAGGCCACATAGTGGAATACAACAGTGTTATCCCAACTTTAGCCCCTCTGGTATTTTCTATTTAATCTTTCATTTTTCTAAAAATGATAGTTAAGACCGAGGACATTGATTTCATGACCTACAAGTGTGGTCATGACAATCAAGTCAGAAAAAACTGACTCTAGAGCCACCTGCCACTGACTAGCTGAGTTATCCTGAGCAACCAATTTACTGAGTAGTAGCCAGGACTAAGTAATATCTTCTTAGATGGCCTCTATGATCTATGAAAAATTTTTAAAACTAAACATTTTTAGTTTTAGTTTTTTGTTTAGGTGTTTAGTTTTTTGTTTGTTTCATCAAAGCAATGTCCGGGGTCTACATAATGATCAACAGAGAAGGCAGAGAGTGAGTAGAATTTGCCTTTCTTTGAAGTTGATGATGGTAATGGAAGGTATTTACTCAGCTTGCTGCTTTACATATTTGATTTGTATATTAGTAATCTGATGATTGCTGATTTTGTTCATCCTACCCACCTGTTTGCACCCTTCAGCCATTCATTTTTCCCATACAGTTTATCTTCTTTTTTTAAAAAAGATTTTATTTATTTATTTGACAGAGAGAGCAAGAGAGCACAGCAGAGGGAGCAGTAGAAGGAGAGGGAGAAGCAGGCTCCCCACTGAGCAGGTAGGGAGCCTGATGAGGGGCTGGATCCCAAGACCCTGGGATCATGACCTGAGCCGAAGGCAGACGATTAACCATCTGAGCCACCCAGGTGCCCCAGTTTATCAAGCTTCTTAATGAAGTTTTTGATATCCCCTGGAGATAGAAAAACAGGACATGTTTAGAAAAAAAGAGATTTTACCACTTCAAAAAAAATATGAAAATCTGTATGTAACTACAATGAAATTAAAATTAAAAACCTTAAAAAATACGAAAATCAAAACAATCCTGATTTTGCGATTTGGGCAAAGTAGATGGAGAAGTGCTAAGATAGGAGAGGACCAGTGAGAAGCCAGAGGTAGAGAACGTGATGCCCAGATCATCTTCACCATTGCTAGTTCCTATTCATGCCCCTCTTACTCTGTTCATTTTTAGAGGAAAAAACTCATCATTGCTGATGTGCTGTTTCTCAGACATGCTGTTTCCGAGGTTCACTTGAATCACGGTTGATTTGGGGTAGGTGTTTAAATACAGAATTCAGGTTTCTGCCACAGACCTGTTGAATCCAGTTCTCTGGGGGCTGGTCCTGGGAGTCTACACTTCAACACCATCCCTGGGTGGCTCATGTGCACACTAAAGCTTTAAAAACTGATGGCATGATCTTTAAGGAAAAATTGAGCAAGGGTTCTTTGCAAGTGTAGTCATAACTCCCCTTCCTGTATCTAATTTTGTTCATTGGTATCAATACCACTCTTCACTCTACCTCTGCTTATCCCACTTCCACTTTTGCCCCCTAAAATAAAAGAGATGATCTTTGTTTTTCCTGATCTTAAAAGGAGGATAGATTCCAGCTTCTTACAACTGGGCTTGAAATGCTGTTAGTTATTTCCTGGCGAAGGAGCAATTTCCAGTTAACTTTCCTGATCATCAAAAACAGGGTAAAATGAAGATGCTTTAAAAATATCAACAACATGCTTTGTTTGCACTGAATGTTTAAAAATGCATTCTATTTCTATATACAAAGACAATATCCAGATTTGTCTCCACATTCTGTCTTTGATTGTGTAGGATTGTAAACCACTGCCCTATTTTATGCCCATTTCTCTCTCTGTGTCCCCATCCACCAGCTCTGGCCCTCTGTTGGTTCCACCTTCGCCTCTATTCACAATCTGTAGATTTGTGCCAAACAGATTTCATGGAGAACACTTTGCCCTGGTTATACAACTGTTTAAAATATAGGAGTAATTTACACGCATGGATGGCCAGACAGCGGTAGCTGTCTTCACCCACTGCCCACGCTCAGCGGCTTCTCTCACTTGCACTGTATTTGTCTCCTTCCTTCCTGTCCTGAGCTCTGGCGAAGAACTGGCTAAGTGAAGAGCTCCAGCCTTCAAAGGGCAGCTCCCACACTGTGGGCACTTTAAAGCACAGATGAGACCTCCAACAATGTCCCCTGTCCTCAGGAATTCATAAACCCAGACATAAATAATTGTGACTTGAAAAAAAATGCTGTGGAGCTTTGGGACCCTATGGTAAATAATTTAATTCGAAGGAATCTCAATAAATGAACTGAAGGCCACTGAAAATAAAGTTTATAATTGAGAGATACCCTTTTAGAGGATACTAGGAAATATTTTATTGACTTAATATCCTAGAACTAAATAACTTAAGCAAATGTTGTACAAATGAAACAGCCCTCTTCGAGTCATTTCACTTGATTTAAGGACATGATTTAGTTCAAATGTCTCTTGTGGAATTGCCTCCGGAAGTATTATTTTATATTCACACTTAGATTTAAACTGAGAACAATGAGTCTTAAATGTCTAAAAGTCTCTGAAGCTCTTCCTTTGAAGGAATAACTGATTTCTGTTTTCTGGTCTAAGTGGTGATTCAAAGACCAAGTTATTTAAAGGTTACTAGTCATGTCCAAATCACTGGATTGAGAATCTACTTAACCTGCCACTCATGATTGAAGACTCATCATAAAAGAATGAGAAGTACTTTTGCTTTCCTCACCTTTTACTGAAAGGACATTTAGGCCTTTCTGTTTCAAGACAGGGTCAGGAAGATGAGCAGTTTCACCAAAACCCAGTGAGGGTTGGCTTAGGTTTGGTTTGGAAAAGGTAGTCCTAGTTTTGCTTCCGGTGTAGTAGCGTTGGTATCTGTCACCCTGTATTTCACAGACCCTCATTGGATTGATTTTGGTAAAGGGGATAATTAATGCTTGCTGTAACCACCAACAATTTAACCCAGTTAGCTCATCATTTTTCATGTGTTTATGGAGGGCCAAGGGGAAGATGGGGAGTTGGCATGGGGAAGAATAAATTCTAACATTGAGATGCTTCTTCCCAGGTTTACTTAGAAGAAATCAATGGGACTATACCAGGCCAAGTGATGCAGCACTTCCCAGGGTTTCTTGCCTTAGGAGGAGAATAAAAAGAATTAAGACTGAGGTCTGGGTATGGTTTTTTGCTGTCCTTGGGTAGCACAAACGTATGTTGTACCCTTCTTGTGAAGAGCTGAAAAGGAAAGGGAATAGATACTAAAGTGGGTCATTTTACTCATCAGAGTTCAGAGACTGTTCTCAATTTTTTAAAAAAGCATTCATGCTGAATTTCTCAGGGGTGTAGAAGGCTGAGAGTCGCAGGTGGAGAACAGGGTCATGTGAGCTGCATGAAAAGGAAGTTAACAGGGCTGTAGTCTAATGGTATGAAGACCTCATAGTTGAGAAGGAGGAGAAATATAAATAGCTATTGTAGTGGAAAAAATTGGGTACGAGAGAAATACCTAGAGAAGATTTTGGAGTCTGTTAAATATGCTGTGCAGAGCATTTGCAGGGACTCCTTAAGAAAGCTTAAG